AAGGAGGGAGGCAGATGTTGAGAAGCTTGGTAACTATGGTGATTTTCTGGGTCTTTTGGCCTGGGTCCCCTAGCTCAGGCAGGTCTCAGGATGTGGGGGTGGGGCCCCGGTTTCAAATTCCCAGAGAGGGGCTGGCAGGAGAGCCAGCCTGCGGAGCCCACAAGCCAAACATCTGCTGCACAAAGATTTGGAAGTGCCTTGCCCACAAATATGTCCCTTGTTGGGGCAGGAGGCAGGCTGTGCAAGCCAGCTGCTGTAAGTTTCCATCTGAAAGGCGGCCCTTGGTGGGAGGGGTGCTGCGGGGAAGGGGCTGGGTGGGGGGCACCCTGCAAGGATGATAAATCCTAAGGGTGGAGATTACACTGAGTGTTAGGTTTTGGCTTTCTTTCCCCTTTCTTCAGTTACAAGTTTGGGGTGTAGGGAGAGGCAGAAATTCCATGCCCAGGAAATCCGTCTATTTCATTTCTGAGAAAATACCAAGTAAGCATTCTAAAGGGGGAAATGGTTTGGTGAGGCTGTTAACAATCAGAGCATTGAGGTCATTGCCCTTGCGGCCCAGGCGCTCATAGGTTCCATCCAGGTGGGAGTGGTGGGGAGCAGAGGGCCTGGAAAGCCACGTGGGGCTTTGCCATTCTGGAGTGAACGTTCCAGGTTGCTGGAGCTGGCAGTTCTCTGGCCATGGAGCCCTATGAAGCCCTCCAAACCCATAAGAACTCATGGTGGGTGGGATTGGGGTGTGATGGGCAAGTCCTTCCACTCATTGTTCTTGGCATGCAGACCTGGGGTCCCCAGATTTTTTCATTGGGCTAGGCTGTGGGTGACTCCAAACACTACTGCTCATCCGACTAACTCATCAAACAAACCATCCTGTTGGGGGCGGGGAGGAGGTATACAGACCTGGAGTTGGAAAGCTGGGTGCATATCTGTACTCAGATATAAGTAGCTGCATAGCCCAGGTGCTGGGTAAGTTGGGCTCAGAGGGTGCAGTTCCCACAAGCGGGCTGGCCCACCCACTGTTACCTGGCCTCACCCCTAACTCAGTCCGTGGGGGCATTTCCACATGGGCGATTTGGAAAAGGCTTCTGGCAATATGCTCCTCTGGTCTGGATAACCCTTTCCTCTGAGCACATTTTGGTGGAGCAGCCTGGTGAGGAGGACTGGACAGCCTGACTTGGCCATTGCGGGCTTCGGGCCCCTCCCAAGGTCTCTGAGGAAGGACATCACTGTAACAGGCTGACAGAGGCTGGAGAGCCATCCTGCAGTGTAGCAGAGGGGAAAGGCAGACTGTGGCCGTAGGTTGCTGAGCAGTGTGATTGGGTGGGGTGTAAGGCAGTGTATAAATCAGTTCTGTGTTTCCAGAACTCCTCGTGGACCTTTCAAGGAACGGGAGAGTGCCGTGCAATGCCCTCAAAGCTGGACTCCCTAAGCCAGGAGGCCAAATACATCTAGAAAATGCCTGTGTTGTCATCTCTTCGATCCTCACCATATACGAATTTGGTGATGTCATTTTTCCTGAGCCTATATGTAAGATTATTTTTGACTTCTTTAGCAGTGGTTGTCAGAAGTGTGGCCCCCAGACCCGTGCCAGCATCAGCCTGGGTGCTCAGTAGAAAAGCTGATTCTCTGGCCCTACCTGCACCTACTAAGCTGGGGTGGGGCTCAGCCCTCTGGATTTTAACTAGACTTTCAGGTGATTTTAGTTTGAGAACCACTGCCACAGCTCACTGGAGGCTCTCGGAGGTCCTACCACAAAGAAACCCATTTAGTTTTGGTCACTCTGTCTCCCAAACTTATATGGCCATGTAACCCCTTTATGACCTAATATCCATTAGCTTTTCAAGGAACCAGCTTTGGGCAACAGGAAAGATGGACTTGGGGTCTGAGGGATGGTGGTTCAAATCCTACAGCTTTTCTTCCAGTCATTGGGGGGTGGGTTTGGGAGCTTTAAATCAGATACTCTAATACTTGGCGCTACCCTTAGGTCAGAGAAAGCCTGCCAAGTGGTAGCTGCTAATGACAGCAATAATGATCATTCTTAGGGCGGCTATGTCACCAGTGTAGTTCTAGGAAAATAGGTCTCCCATGTCCTTCCTTTTGCCTCCATTTTCCCCCCTAAATCACTGCTTGGATCTGGGGTGTCAGTCTGCGCTGTACAATTTCCTCCCCATATCTGAGTTCTCAAACTGAATGCCCCGGCCACTTCTGGTGAAGTTTATCGTCCACATCAGGGGAGCAGAAATCAGGCTTCCTGCCTGATGCTTGGCTCTGGTAAACTGTCCTACACTGCCCTTTTATGAGAAACAGAAGGCACAGCACACAGAATGGCCAGCACCCATGTCTACTTAACTTGGCCACTCACTGGGGTAAGGCAAAGCAGTCCAGGGAACACACATCCACAAGTAAGTTTGGGTTTGCTGGGGACACACTGCCTATGGTCTATGTCTATCTAGCTACTTTTATAGGATTTACTCCCTGGCTTCAAGGAGATAATCAGGGCATTAAATGAGAGCACCCAGGCTTCTTTCTTCCTGGAACAGATCATAAGCAGGGTTTTATAACTCTGCATCACGTAGTAGGAAAAGTATCAGATCCAGGTTCTCCTCCTTAGAAACGGTGGGAACCTTGGAAAAAGTTACCTACCCTCTCTGAATCTCTGATTCCACACCCATAAAATGGGGTTGGTGAAATTCAGCCTCTTGGCAATTGTGTGAATTAATAAACAAAGACCCTGAAAGAGTGGGCAGTGTTTCTGGCTCAGAGCAGGTGCTTAATAAATAAATGTGAACATGGATCCCATCATCATCCTGACCATCTAAATTGCCCCCATCGTTCGAGGCTCTATTTAGTTAGAACACTCACTTATTCATCCATTTGTTCACTCATTCATGGTTCACACATTTATTGAGCACCTACTACCTCTATCAATGGCACCTGCTGAAGATACAGAGAGGAAAAAGACAAGCCCGCAGCACCTAGAGGTGACATAAATACATGGCATACAGACATGAAGCCGCTAATTACATAACGTGTTATCTAAACAAGACTGGGGTTAGGGTAAGGAAGGAGAAGGCTGTCTTCCCCAGCCAGCCCAGCCCAACCAATACGGGCTTCCTTTGATTCTGTTTATTGTCTGATCTTGTTGTTTATGTACTTCCAAACTGTCATAACTACTTCTTAAACTTGACGGTAGGCAGAGACCCGGGTCTCAGGCCACCTTTGCCCCACTTCCATGTTGTACAAATATGTGGGGCTGAGTCAAGGATAAAATATGATCTCAGATCAGCCGCTCTCTCCTGGGAATGGCAATTGGGAAATGTCACAACGACTCAAAGAGATTGCCGTCCAATTTGGAATTATGTAGTATTTATGCTTTAAGGACAAATAACTATTTGGATAGAGGGCTGGATGGGGAGGAGACTCGTTTATGAAACATGGTAACTGAATCTAAATTTTTAAGTTGCTGATACATGCATTCTTCTTGAGAAGTGGGTCTTTTCAACATCATTGCCAAATTTGTGGTAGGGAAAATAAGTTTTGTTCTTTTGTCTTCAAGTTCTCAGCTTAGAGGCCCTGGGTGGCTCAGTTAAGTGTCTGATTGAGGTAGTGATCTTGGGGTCCTGGGATCGAGTCCCGTGTTGGGCTCTCTGCTCAGTGGGGAGTCTGCTTTCGCCTCTCCCTCTCGCCCTCCCCCCATCTGTGCTGTCTCTCAAATAAATAAAATCTTTCAGAAAAAAAAAAGTTCTCAGATTAACACTATGAGGCCATAGTTCACTGGATGGCAATCCCAAATGAATGTGCCAACAAATGGGGGTTAGAGTTGCAGGATGCAGGTTTTGGATGACAAGACTGGTCCTCTCCGAATGTAGTGACAGCACCATTGGGGCTGCCATTTCTCTGGGATGTCTGACTCACACAGGTGACTGCCAGCCTGTCACGTAATCTGAAAGGCAGGTAATTTGCTCGAGGGCTTCACATATTGGGACATTTATGTCTAAATATCAAATACAGGCAGTCGACGCCAGTTGGCTGATAGGGGCAGAGGACAAAAGGGGGCCAGAGGCCAGGAAACAGCAAACATCAGCCATCTGTGGCACTGTCTCAAGCTAGTCCTTTTACCTCCTATGGGACATATTAAGACAAGCCAGTTCATGAGGCTTTCACCAGACACTCTGGATTCTTCATTTTTTCTCAAACAGCCCCCAGTAGTTCACTCTCTTACAGCACATCTTCCACACGCTGCTTGAGGACACTTTCCCAAGCCCAGCTCACACCCCATGACATCTCCCACTGAAAGCCTGCCATAGCCTCCCATGGCCCTCAGAGGGAAGTCCTACATCCACAGTATTCTCCAATGTGGGGACGGTGTCCTCTGCTTGTTTGATTTCCTGAGGCCTGGTGGGCAGTACAGCCTCGTCAATACTTGAGTGATGAATGGATGGCCTACCTCTTCAGGAAGCGTGCTCCTCCTGACCTTGCCAGCCTCGTGTCCCCACACCACCAGCATACCATGCTTTCAATCACATGGGGACTCAGTTCAGGCCTCTGGCTCCGCAGCACTCTCTGGAACTCAGGTGTTTTTTTTTTTGTTTTTTTTTTGTTGTTGTTTTTTTACCTGCTTACCTCTTTAAGGTGGTACAGGTCTTCCCTGCAAAGCCTGAAGATCTGGATGTGTCCTGGTTATTCTTCCCAGGCCAGGATGGGCCTCAGGTCCTCCTCCAAGCCTACACTCACCCCAACCAAGGTTAGATGCCCTTTCTCTAAGCTGTGACAGTTTGGTAGTCTGGACCTGCCCTGGATGATCAGCCTCTCAAGCACAGTGATCTTATGCTATTTTCTGCAGGATAGTGCCAGGCACAGAGTAAAGGAACACCAAATAGCTGCTGGCAGTCTGTATGAAAGAATGCATGACCAACAGGAAAAAGCTTGGAGCTGGCACCCTGACCCTGCAAGCCCTGGGCCTGGTGGTTTCAGCCACACCAGGAGGCATGGGAGAGACTTACATATTCTTTGGATGGGTCACCGATGCTGCCGTTGGTGGTTGGGGCGGTGGTCTCTGTGACCTCTGGCTTCTCCTGCTGCTTCCCCTCCTCCTTGGGCAAACCACCCTGCCCTGGGAGGGCCACCTCTCCCACGCCCAGTGCCTCGCTCTTGTATTGCTTGACAAATTCTTCCATCACTTTCAACTCATTCTCCAGAAGTCCACGGCAGCGAGAAGGGTCCTGGTCGTAGATGGGGAGCTGGTGCATGAGCTGGCGTCGGCGGTAATAGGCACCCTCGGTGCCTGTCACTGGCTGCTTCTCTTTTGGGATGAGCTCCATGTACTGCAGACCCTGGTGGGGAGGAGATAAAGCTACTGTGATTCTCAGGTACCCAAGCAGACATGTGGAATTGGTGAACAGCTTCCAGCTTCTTCAGGTTTTCTGCAGAACCGAGGACAGTCAAGGCAGGAATGCTGTGAATTTGGCAACACCCAAGAGAGGCCTAAATAAGTTTCACTCTCCTCTACATTGTCACAGATTCACATTCTGGATGAGAATGGTGTACCTGAAGTCAGTGTTCATTTTAGATTTGTTGGCTTTGCAATACAGGTTTGGTTTCCTTCAATACCATTCACCTAATGGCAATGTTCCTAATTACAAAAGAGTCAATCTAGTTTAAAATTGCTTTTCTTAGAAAAGTATAATTAAATAATGATAGGCATAAGGTATTTCATCATTTATTAATTTAAAAACAGGCCAAGGCACCTTCTAATAGAATGAATTGATAAGGTATCAAGGTCATAACATTTCCACATCAATTATGACTGGTAACCACATGAATAGTAATATGTCCATAGATAACTGTCCAATTTTGGCTTTTTTTTTAAATGAACAGTAACCTTATACTTGGGTGGGTACCAGGGATGGGGACAATTGGGGAAGATAAAGGTCAAAGCCACAGAGCATGAGAAAGTGTGAAAGGAGAACTGTTTATCCTTGACAAGTATTCTCCACTTCCATGCCTGTCCCTGCCTATGACCCTGACACCCCCACCAGGTTGCGTGATTCCTACTGCCCGGGTGGCCGTTGCCATATTTACCCTCCTGGAACTTGCCTGCCCCATATCACATTGCTTGGGGCTGGACTTATTTTGGAATTGAATTGTGTTACTCAACATGGAAAGTCATACAATAATTCATAATGAATAACCATATTGGTTGCCTGATGTTATAAGGAGCAGGGGTAAGGGAGGAGAATATGAGTCCAGAGCCTGGTTTGCTGAGTTTCATAATAAATGAATTCTGGATAAGACCAATTTTAGAGAAGGGAGACACAGGTGACCCGGGGTCCTGTGGGACTCATGAAGTGAGAGGTGGCTGTGGATGGTCCCTAGGAGGCTCTGTCCTAGATCCTGGATCACCTGGCTGAGCCGCCTCCTGGCTCTGTGGGCTCACGGCACACCCTCTTACTATCCCTTCATCCACATAGTCCCCAATACTTTTCTAGGTGCTTTTGCCAGACACAGGAGATGGCCTGGGGTGGGGCGTGGACAGAATTCTGGGGTACCAGGAAATTTGAGTTTCTAGCTCTTGCCCTGCTGCTGCTCTCTGTGTAAGACTGAAAAAGTACCCAGGGCCGTGGACCTGTTTCATCATCTACAAAGTTCGAGGTAGACTGCATGATCTTCAGGGTCCTGACCACTGTGAGAAGTCTGTGGTGCCCTTACTCAGTCCTTAGCATTATTATGAGAGAGAAGCAGTAGCACTGACCTGAGTCTACAGCTCAGAAAAGTGGCTCAAGGAGCACATGGATTCGGGTTGGCCAAAGAGGCCAAGATGCTGAACCCCAACAGATGAAAGTGCCAGGGAGCCACACAGCTGACTACATGTTTGGGAAGGGCTGAGTCCTGACTCTGTCTTGGGAAAACGGGGTGCTGTTTTTCCCTGGCTCAGTATAAAACTGCAGGTAGCTTCCAGCACAAACATGCCAAGCAAGCAGGTCTTAAGAATCTAGTCTCAAACTTTGGGGTGCATAAGAATCACTTGATGGCCTTGTGAAAAACCTTCCTGGGCCCATCCTGGACTGTGATTTAGGAGTCTGTAAAGGGCCTAGAAGTGAGCGCTTTAGTAGGTCCTCCTGGGTGTGTGTGAAGCAGGATATCTGAGGATTGGGGCCTATCTGGAGATAGGGGGTGGTGGTGGGACAGGATGTGACCATCAGAGGACAGGGAAAGCAGTGGACCAGCAGCCTACAGGCTGGGGCAGGGCACAGGGCCCTGGGGATGTGGGTTAGGGACAGTGTGGGCGACAAATAACTACCCCAGACATTCTTATTTCGTGTGTGGGGACTGCCCTGCTCCCAGGATCTATGGAAGGATATTGGAGAAGTAGAAACAAGAGCGATGCTCACTGTGCCAGAATGGGCACTCAGATGGCCAACATCTCACTCATTCCAAGTGCTGAAGCAGATCTAGTTGCATGGCTGATTGAGTTCATGGGAGCACAATTTCTTCTCCTAGGAAGGCTACCGACTCCTGCAGGATGAGTGGTCGAAGGCATGGTAGGAGTAGCTAACACTTACATGGTGCTTCCTATGATCTGGGCGCCCTTCTAGGTACCTGACACAAGCTAACCCATTTAATTCTCACAGAACCTCTAGGAGTAAGGAACTAATATTACCCCTCAAGAAACTGAGGCATGGAAAAGGAACCTCCTGAAGCTCCCACAATGCATCTGTGGTAGAGACAGCTTTGTACTCAGCAGAGCTTGGGTCTCATCCATGTGTGTACTACTTCTTTAGGAGATGAATGATTTGCAAAAAGAAAAAAATTTCCTTCAATCTCTAGGGAGGTTTCCTTCGGTCTTTGTCAGAGTGAAGAGGCTGTGTAAACCCTGCCTTGTGCCATGATTCTCCAGTCCCTGGATATGGCTATGACTCTGGTCTGTAACAGGAGGTATCCCTTCCTGCTTAGCTTTACAAATAAACACTGCGGTAGAAGTCCCGCAGCAGTGGCCTTCTGCAAGTGTCAGCCACCTGCTTGTTGATCCCTACATTCAATGTCCTTTCATGGCTCTGTCCTGGCTACAGGTGTCTATAGCCCACAGAGCTCAAGGATTCCTGGCCAGGGCCCTGGAGACAGTGAGTGTTCCTTCCCAGGAACCTAGTGTTCCTGTGGCAGCTCAAAGACCCAGCTGGGTACCATAGCATCCTGCTGCCACTGGCATGTGTTCTGTGATGGCATGCCTTGCCTGGCTGGCCCGAGAATCCTAGTCACACACACCTGCGGCAGATGCTGTTCATTGACCCAGGAGAGGGTATCAGAGTCCATCTCGATACACCATTCAGACAACTACTGTTGGTTTGGCATGGGCTTGGGAAGGAGATGATGGGGACAGAGGTTTGGGTCAGAGTCAGCTGCCTGCGCCTCTCAGAGCTTGTAACAGAATCTCTCAGGAATCTCTCCAGGAAGCTGATTAAGGTCATGTTTCCAAAACCTTTAGCAAGAGACCTTTTCTTGGAGCAGTTAGGAAAGGTTGGTTTGGGTTTCAAGGTTTTCATGAGGACCTTTCTGAGTCATTTGGTGCTTTGCTGTCTGGCTGGGACATCTTGGGTGAAGTGGTTCCCAGAATCGGGCTTCATCAGGAGAGGAATCAAAGGGCAGAGAGAAAAGTGGAAAAGGTACTTTATTCTAAGAGTTGGGCAGTAGGACACACATGGATTTCTGGAATCGGAAGACCTGATCCTGCCTGTTCTTTCTGCTTCTCTAGCTGTCAGGCAAGGATGGTAAATGGGCTTCGTGTTACATGTCAATCCTAGTCAACAGTGGCCACTTGGAGTGTTGTGTCGAAGATTCTGAGGCCAATGAAGGCACTACGAGAGACAATGCCCTGATTGACCAGCCATGTTTGCCTTAGGCATGAGAGTAGAGGATGAGGTATGAGTGCCACACCTGCGTAGGCTCCTCAAAGACTTTCCCCTGTAAAACAGGGTTACGATGCATATAGGGAGTGGTAAGGTGTTGATGATCTATCTATTTATCTGTCATCTACAGAATGTTCAATGGATGCTGGTTCCCTTCATCTTTTCCCCCTTGCCACCCCCCAGATCCTGGATAGCCTTCAAAGATCTGCCCAAGTTCCTCCCTATTCTTAGGAGCCTTCCTTAAAAGTGCTAATCCAAGGTACCTGCTTTTTTCCTGCCTCTCTTCCTATATGTCTGGTTCTCCTGGCCTGGCTTGGTAGCCAAGAGCCTAAGCTTTGGAGTCAGGGAGGCCTGAGTCCAAGGGATGGCTCTGCCATTTAAGCCAGTGATGGGACATTTAGCTAGCTGTGTCACTTCTCTCAACCTCAGTTGCCCCCTCTGTGAATAAGTATAGTAATAGTATATATCCTTAACAGTTAGAATTTTCTAGATGAGACCATGCAAGTACAGCTCTTAGCATAGGGCCCGGTACATGTAAATGCTCAGTAAACATTAGCCATTGGGTTTATTGTTACTAGCCTTAAAGGCTTAAGAATTTCTCCGTTTTTCATTCTGGTTGGGAAGGATGACAGGAAGATTCAGTCCCATTTCCAAAATATAATCAGTCCTGATCACTTGGTAATTAAACAAACATCAGGAGGGTGAATGGGAAGGGACAACTGTCCAATCTCAGAAAGGCAACTTGCTCAGGCAGGCCAGATGCAGGGCAGACAGAGGGGCCTTTATACCATGTGGTTTTACGAGCCAGCATTAATCATAGCCTGACGATGCCTTCCTCTGATTAGTCTGGGGCCAAAGCATTTGGGGTTTTCACCAGCCAGTTCCTGACGTCCACAGCCAGCTCTTTTACAAGCCGCCTGCTTTACTTTCCACTGACATGTTGTAGACCTGGGTGATGGCTTACCCAGACCTGGGCGCTGGAGGCAGACCTGGGTTTGGAGCCACCCAGCATGTCCTGGTACTGCTGTTGTTGGATGCCACCCTCTGGCCCGGATCTGCCCCTGTCTAGCCCCTGCAACTGGTAAAGGCCAACTGACCACGCTGTGTTTCCCTACACGTAAAATAATTCCTACTTCACATGGTGGCTGAGCTCACAAATGCTGACCTATTCTTTTAAAATGTTTTTTTTTTTTTTAAAAAGTACAGCTTTTAAAAAAGTAACTTTGCCAGTCTCCACTTGATCTAGAAGGGATTTCCCCATCTTTCCCTCACTTAAGCTATAGCTTAGAGCTGTGCTGCTCAGACTCTCTATGGTGAAGGATCAGGGTTTTTTTGTTTGATTTTTCTATCTATTGCAGAATGATTTGTGGGCTCGCTGCATGAGATGAGAATGTAGCTCATGCCACATGAGATTCCCACATGAGTCTGAGCATAGTGGAATTCTGTTCAGTGAGAGGAGTTCTCTGATCACAGGCATGGATGTCAATTGCTACTAAATCTCTCCAACATTTATTCTCAATTTCTGTACCTCTCGTTGTGGGCCAGTCACAGGATTTTTATGGCACAGTGTTGGTCCATAGACCACATGTGGAATGTCACTGGCCAGGAGGGTGACATAGCACAAATACCCATCAAGCCTACTATGTGCCCTGCATGGTGCAAGGTGTTGGATAGGATGGGGCACAGGATAGGTATGGCATCTGCCCTTTTGGGGCCTTGCTTCACTCCAGTGAGAGAGATGATAACTAAGCAAAGACATACATAAGACAACCATAGCTTGCAATCAAAGCTTCTAAAGAAACACTGGAGAACTGAGAGAAAAAAAAAATGAGGGCAGCCTGGGTGGCTCAGCAATTTAGCGCTGCCTCCAGTCCAGGGCATGATCCTGGAGACTCGGGATCGAGTCCCATGTCGGGCTCCCTGCATGGAGCCTGCTTCTCCCTCTTGCCTGTGTCTCTGCCTCTCTCTGTGTCTCTCATGAGTAAATAAATAAAAATCTTAAAAAAAAAATGTAGCTGGAGGATAGGTGGCATCTGCTGTAGACTGGGTGGTTAGGGAAGGCCTGCCTTGGACCTGTCAGAAAGACCTAGCCATGCAAAGAGCAGGAAAAGGACATTTCAAGTAGAGGGAACAGCAAGTGCAAAGTCCCTGAGGAGGGCAAAAGCCTAGAGCATTCAAGAGCAGGGAAGAGGAAGGTCAGGGCACTGTAAGGTAATGAGTAAGGGGTCACAGCTGTTGGGGAGTCTGTGGTGGGGATATGACCATGCAGGACTCTGAAGCCTCTCCTTTTTTCCCCAGAAGACATTTAATTAAATGCCAGGCTTGCATCCCTAAAATCGTAGGACCTTTTTACTCTCATTAACTTGTGGAAATCACCTTGGTCTTTGCTATTGCAGGTATGGTCTAGGGGCCAGCAGAATCAGCATCACCTGGGAGCATGTTAGGAGTGTGGAGTCTCAGACCAGCCCCAAGCTCACTAGATGTATTTCTGCAAGCTGTCCAGATAATGTATAAGGTAGTTGAAATTTGAGGGGCACTGGTCTGGTCCCCTGGGTCTTGAAGGTGGCTGCGTGCGGCATTACCTGAGGAGTCAAATACCCATATCTGTTGATTCTGATCCTGTAATCTAGAGCTTCTGATTTAATGGTCTGGGGTGAGGCCTGTGCATGGGGACTTGTTATGGGTTTTTGTAGTGGGCAGCCAGGATGTGACTTTGTGCAAGTCATTTCTCTTTCTGGATCTTGTCCTTCTCTGGGTGCTTCTTCCCAGGGTTGTGTAAAGCTAGTTCAGTTCTCCCTTCAAGCCCAAGAGGTCTCAGTGGTTAGAAAAAAGAGGGGACTATTTCTGTGCTCCACCACAGGCCTGCAATGGGCATATCCCAGGCCACTCTGAGGAAAAATGAACATCTCACACATGAAGACAAGCACTCTGAGAGTCTGGAATCACAAACCATCCTTTGTTCAGAAATGGGGAGCCCAAAGGGAACCATGAATGACCCTGTACCAGAGCTGGAAGGGCCCTTTATAATTCTCAGAAACACTTCTATCCATTTCCTGGATGAGGAAAACCCAGGGCCAGTTTTCACTTCAAGATCACATAGTGAGGCAGGAATGGGCTTAGAATCTTATCTATTTCTATCATCTCGCCCTCTTCCTACCTTGTCTTTGAAATTCAGGCATAGCTAACATTTACATGGATAGGAGAACAACCCTTTGGTTGGAGGATGCTGTCTTACCAGTTTCTGGGTGACTCCAGGGGGGGCCCACTCATAGGTGATGGTGTCAAAGGTGGGATCTTTCCCAGTGGCAATGGGATTGGTCATGATCATCCGATTCCTCTTGTAAATCCGGATGCCGTCCCCACCTTTCACCCGGGCTGTGAGGGTGGAATACTTGGAGTCCATCAGCAAGCGGCCAATTTTCCGATCGTCTTCCAGCTCAGAGCTCAAGCAGTGATCCTCATGGCTGCATTTGCATGACTTGCATATTTTCCTGGGGTGGGAGGTTAATTGGGACAAATGAGATCAACCTCCAGAGAAGAGGAGCAGAGTCTCCTGCTGGTAGCATCTGCCTTTTTGAAAGCAAGTTCAAGGTTTAACTTTAGTAACTTGGAACGGTTTGCAGCAGATGAATGGTAACCTGAGACCAAAAGGCCTTGGGATTGGGAACTGAGTTTAGGAGACTGTCCATCAGTCGGTCTATGGGGAATGTGGGATATGACTTTTGGTGGTAAAAGGAACAACACATTTTTACTCACAGTGATTATGACAGCAAAGGTTGGTTCATTCATTAGAGATGCTTGAAAGCAGGAGTCTTTATGATCTGTGGGCTGAACCTGGCCCACAACCTGGTTTTGTAAATGAAGTTTTACTGGAACATAGCCATGCTCAATTCATTTACATATTGTCTGTGGATGCATTTGGGCTAAACAGACAGACTCGAATAATTGCAACAGAGACCATGTAGCCCACAGAGCCTAAAGTATCCATGATCTGGTCCTTTGTAAAAAAAAAAAAAAAGTTTGCTGACCCCTGCTTTAAGGAAATCTTGAAATGGTCTCCCAAGATTCATTAGCCTTGGAGCTTCAACAACTTTCACTCTTTAGCACTCAAACTGAAGTTAGAACACAGCTGGAAATTTTCTTCGAAAAATGGGTGGATAGGACCCAGGGGGAAGGGAATGAGCTCAGGAAACCCCTTAGGCTGGAGAGATTGATGTTTGCTGGCAAGGCTCTGCTGCGAGGCCGAGAGAAGGAAAAGCATCCTGGGGGAAGCGTCAAATTCACTCGAAAGCCTGATGCTTCTCTCTGACAATTACAGACTACAGCATCTGGCTGCTTCATACCCATGCTGTTGAGGTTTTGAAATCCAGAGGGTTCAAGGTATAGAGGAAAACCACTTCCCTCCCTTTCTGGCCTGACACCTGAGGTGTGCTGTATCGTGGCTGCTCTCACATATGAGATTTAAGAACTTGTTAATAAGTGAAGTGAGCAACGTCAAGCCCTGCGACACGGATGAGGCAGGCCCGAGCAAGAGAGAGGTCAGGGCAGTAGCACGAGTGCTTCACAGCCAGGGATGCCTAAAGGAATCCTCCTTTTCTTCACCAGTAGTTCTAAACGCAGGTCAGTTCTGTGGCAATGTCTGAAGACATTTTTGGTTGTCACAATGGGGTAGCTACTGGCTTCTGTGGGGTAGAGGCCAGGGGTGCTGCTAAACATCCCATAATATATAGGATAGCCCCCCCCCTCCACACCAAAGAATTAGCCTGTCCAAAATGTCAACAGTGCTGAGGTTGAGAAACCCCTGTCTAATATAAAGGGAGGGAGGCCCCACTGCAACCTTCCAGGAGTGCACTGTTGGGATCGGGGAGGGAGAGAAAATCAGACAGAACTGTAACTGTAAGGCTGGGCCACAGGAGGGTTTCATATGCTCTGGGGTGGCTCTGTTGATGTGGACCAGTTCCCCCAGCATGTATGTATGTGGCACATGGCAAGAGGCTCAGTGTGGTAAGTGTGGGACACAGCAGGTTACATTTCTGCAGTGCAAGGCTGATTCTTGTTTTTAATGCAAGAAGCTTGTAGTCCAGTTTCACATTCAGTGGGTTACAATGTGAGAAATGGTAAAATCGATGATCTCAAGGATAATGCTGGTACTCCAAAACAGAGTATGACCCTAAAGATGATGTGGGGCAAAAATAAGCAGTCTTTTCTTCTGGTCCTCATAAGAAGGGGTTGCTCATTTTATAGAATTGGGGCATTTTATTAATAATAAACATTCCCTTTCCTCTCCCTTTTATGAGCCAGGCATGAAGGAGACGGTTTCTCCAACATAGGGGAGAGCACCACTGGTTTACATGTGGGGAGTGACAACAGCAGAGGAGGAAGTGGTAGGAGGAAGAGGAAGGAAGTGAGGGAAAGCCTGGTGTCCCATCAGATCCTCTGAGCCCCATTGCCTACCATGCATGGAGCTGGGTGGAGGAGCTGCCATTTGCTTTTTTTTGTTAAATAAGACTCTCAGGATGCTATTAGAGATGTGGCAAATGCAAAACACTTTAAAATGGAAAATGTTGACGGATATGAGATATTCTTTGAAATTGTGTCAGTGTTATTTCTCCTTTTATTCATATTGTCATGTTGCAAGGCACTGTTGCTGGGATTCCATGGATGAGGAAGACACCTTCCTAGCCCTACTCTACTCTTTCCAGGCACTCAGACTGAAGGGGACACAGACACAACCCAGAAAGATCCTCAATAGTATTGAAACAGCTATTTATTCTTCCTAGGCTACCAGCAATGGAGGAAAAGGCAAAGCCTTGGACTCTTATCCCATCCTGAACACTAGCCCAACACAGGCCCATGGTCAAGTCTATCATCTGACAGCGAGAGGGCTAGTGGGTATCAGGAGTTGGCAAACTACATTCCATTAGCAGAATCTGGCCCATCACCTATTTCTGCACAACCTGTGAAGCAAGAATAGTTTCTACATCATTATAGGGTTGAAAAAAATTCAAAAGGTTACTATCTTATGACCCAAGAAAATGATATGAAATTTGAATTTCACTCCTGAAATAGAGATTGATGGGAACATACGCACATTAATTCATTTACATATTGCCTATGGATGCTTTCATGCTACAAGGGCCACGTTAACTAGTTGTGTTAAGGACCAAACGGCCTGTGAAACCTAAAATGTTTATGAAGAGACTGTTTACAGGATGTTAGCTGACCCTTGGTCTATTTGACGAGTTCCAAACTTTGCTGCACACCTAAATCACCTGGGGAGCTTGGTAAACTTGGAGATGCCCTACCTTGGCCCCAGCAAGTCAGATTCCATGGGTCTGGAGTGGAATCTGGACAGGGATACTTGCAATCCTGTTCAGAGGTGATTTGGATGCACATCAAAGTGCCAGAGTCCCTAGTTGGTTCCTTTCAGAAATGTAAGCAGCTCTGGTTGACTTTCTCTAGATTGTCTCTCAGAAAGCAGAGGAAGCCTAGCTCTGAGGGCAGAGTTATCCGTGAAGATCCACTGCCCCAGGGAGAAGATGCAGAGTTAACATGTAATTCCTGGGGCAGCCGCCTAAGCTGGCATGGAGACAGGACCTCATCAGAAGGGGTGCCATAATGAGGACACCGGGGTGATCCAAAGAATGACCCCTGAAGAATGTAAAATTTTGTGATCTCAAGATCCATTTTTCATACTATCATCTCATTTTTTTCATACTATGTCCCCTCCTTCCCTCAAAGCAGGGTTTTTCTCTATTTACTGAAGCCAGTGAGCATTTTAAAAAAAATAAAGCTATTAGGATTATGATAATATATATATATAAAGAATCTCTGCATGCAAGGAAGAGACTTTCTGTCGGGCTCTCTCTGAAAAGCCTGGAGTCCTAGACATGTGTTTCCCTCTGCCCTGAGGAGCAGTTCAGCACCTTGAGGTTGGCTCCGAAGGCCAGGGAACCTGGCATGTCCATCTGGGAAGCAGGAGGCTGCAGGCTGCTAGGGGAACCTCCCCTTCTGTTTTCATGATTTGCTGTTTCATGAACGTCTGCTCTTGCCTTCACTCTGTACCCTTCGAAGTAATTCTACCATCTGTGCCACCAATACTAATATCATTCTAATTCTGCTGTGTCAATCACTAATTTGATGACAGACAGCTTGCCTCAAACTACGGATTGCGAAGCCAGAGTGGAGCCTAGAGCATATGGGCTCCAGCATCCCCATTTTTCAGAAGGGAAAGGCGAGGCTTACAGAAGGGAAGTGTTTGTTTCAAGCAGAGTCAGGAGGTTAACTTGTCCTGTGATTATCAGTCGAGGGACCTGCTCATTAAACCAGGCTGGCTGTCACTTTGGTTATTCAAATATCTTTCAAACTACTAAAAGTATGAGAACTGGAGCATAAAAATGGTTTCACGTGGTTTCCCATTCTGGGACCTCACTGTTCCAATGTGGCTTGAATTCAGGTCTCCATTAAAGTTATTCAAACTAAGACAACACTTGGTATGTGGGACCCAAGGCTACAATCTGCACTTCTCAAGGATCAATTCACTTGATGTTCAAGTCCTTTGCAGAATGGTGGGGGAATGTAGAGATTAAAACAATGCTGAGACTCCTGGTTACAGCCCCAATTGGTAACCAACTCCTGGTTACAGGCTCAGAATTGCCCTCCTGCCATAAACAGCTAGAAAACCAGACAAAATATGTTAAATGACCCTTTTCAGATGTCAGACAACAGGCAGCAAAGGACTGATCCTTTAGAGGGGGAAACATTGAACTGAGTCAGTGGGTGTATTTGGGGAACATTATCTCCTGCCTTAAAGAGTCTAAAAGGAGGTATCCCAGCTGTCTTTGGAGAGCTGATGAGGAGTCAGCATTATTCTGTAACACCCTGATGGCAGATTCAGGACCAGGGGGTGAAATGATAGGGAAGCTGACTCTCCTCAAGACCAGAAAGGGCTCAAATGGCCAGAATAGATGCGTGGGGTGTTCCCCCAAAGGGGAGTGTGTTCGCTGTGGGAGGAATTTGTGCGGGGGATGGAGTGGGGTTTGGACGACCTTGACGGTCCCTTGCATCCAGAAGACCACATGAGCTCCTGTGAGGTTGAGGACTGTCAGGGAACGGAGTCAAGGAATAATCTTGTGCTTCGAACAAACACAGGACTGGTGAGTGTTTGAGAACATGGTGTGGGGTTCAAGAAGACCCAAGTTTGAATCCTGCCATGTATTGGATGTTTCCCTGCTACCCACTCTTGGTTTACTGACTTGAAAAACGGAGAAACTTTTCCCTACTGCTCAAGGTTACTTCAACGTTTAAATGTAAAAGACTTGGTTCAGCTCAACAAATGTTTTTGCAATTGCCATCTCACTATGGAAGTCAACAACTCTGAGACAATTACCTCCCAAATTGTGCTCCCCCACTGAATGTCCAAGGAAACCCTCTGGCAGGGGAGATAAAAACTCCCTCTTTGCTCTCTTGCCCTACAGAGGTTAGGCTGTCTCTCCCAGGGCTGCTGGGATAGTCACACAGGCTGTGCCCTGCACAAATCCAGTGGGTGATACCCACATAGATGCTGATGGGAACAGTGCCCGGGAGCTGTGCAGTATGGCAGCCCTACTTCTGGCTTTCAGAGTCCTCAATGAAAAACAAGAAAAACTCTGCAGATCCAAGTCTAGCTGTATCTTATGGCCCTCCTTTGTGGGTATGAGTATACTGCGGCCTGGTTTTAAAGTACTAGGGACACAGTGACTTTTATTTCTGGCCCTGGGGTCCTCTGAGGTCACAACAGGGGCAACAACATAGTACAGGGGGATCAAGCACATGCACCAAACCCCAGGGTAGAGCAATCTGGAGAGGACCAGGCACCAATTAAGAGGTACCCACATCTTCCCAGTGTGGTCCTTGGTGGGCTGAGCTTGGAGGCCTCCACCTTGAAATGGTGAGTGAAGCACTAAACTCCTTTCTCATCTTGGCTCCCAAGGACTTCTCAGTCATTTCTGAATTGGGCCATGCAGGAGTACATTCACTCTGGAGCCAGTCCTCCCTGAAACGCATGCATTGTAAGCAGCCGCAGCAGAGAAGAATGACTAGGGGTTCCCAGAAAGGACAGCCAAGAAATGAAGACAGGCATAGCCTCTCCTGACAAACTCTGTTACCTCCATGGATGTGGCTCGAAGCCTGAACACGTCCCCTTGCATTTCAAACAAGGCACACCTCTTGCTGACTGCTGCTGGCCCAGGGACATCTGGAAAAGAAGACAGAAAAGAGGGTGTTTTCCTTCCAAATGTCTTGGACCGGGGATGCTTGACCTCTAAAAGACCTGGCATGCCCGCAAAGGGATTGTGTGGGGTTCAAAGGGCTCAAGATGAATAAGCCATCAGTTACTGTTTACCAAGAATGGAGAAGACCAGCTGGGAAAGTAGCCATAGAGCAGGCAAATGTGGAAGGGTGGGGCCCTTCCCAATAAAAATGGACCAAGGCAGGGTCTTTCAGAGCTGTTGCCAGCCGGCCCATAGGGTTCCCTTGGAAACCCCCTGCTGTGAGGGATCATCTGCTCCTTCCTCCACATTCACCAGCTCCCCTGGTCCACTTGTCACTGGAATGGAATCTTCCAGTGAGTGACTCCTCTCCCTCATTTATTTGTGATTTATTGATAGGGTGGGATTAAACCAAAGCTATAGGCAGACACAAATGTTCATGCTGCCAAATGTTTATAGCTCAAAGCATAACAAATATTTTGCTAAAACATGGAAAATCAGGAGCATTTCAAGACTGGTTGTCCTCTGAAAGGAGAACAACACATGGGATAGGTTTTACTCTTTGTCACCAGCTGCTGCAGCTGCTGTGTTGAGACCCAAATGCCCGAATGGATCTCAAATCAGCAGCATCACAGGAAGCTTGCCAGAAACACAGCCCCTCAGGTCCCACCCCAGCCCTTCTGATTCAGAATCTGCAGTTCAACAAAATTCCAGGAGATTTGTATTATATTAAAATTGGAGAGCCAGTGGATCTGCTGGCTAAGAAACTTACCTATCTCTCCACTGGGGGTGGGGATGACTTGCTCCAGTTACGTACATGTATTATGGTTTTATCAAGAACAAGGCATAAGCTCCTCACATCTGAACAGACTATTGATTCATTTAACTATTTATTTAGCATGTGTCAGGCATAGGGATACATCATAGGACTTGGGTGTACCCTAGATGTACTCACAGACAAGGGGGAGACCGAGCGAGAAACACGTACTTATCACTTGCTCCTGAAAGGGTAAGTTTGAGGCAAAGGAAACTGCCCGTTATGTAGCAGAAAGGCGTGGGAGCCTGGGAGACCAGGATTCCAAACCCAGCTTCATGACTTAATAGCCATACTGGCCTTGGACTAACCGGGCTTCAGTCTCCTTGTCAAATGGGTATGAAGATGATATACGTAAAGTGCTTATTCACACTGGGTACTAAAAAAATGGGAGCTGGTGTAATTTTGCACACAGACTGTAGGTACACAGAGGAAGGGGTGAAGAAACCCGTATGGGAAGTCCAGGGAAGCTTCCCAGAGGAGGTGACTCTGGATGGGGGTTATACAAAAAGAGCAGACAGAAACAGAGAAGGGATTTCTAGAAGGGAGAAAATATGCACAGGAAAAAGATGCAGAAGAGCATGATGGGTGGGATGTTGCAATCTGAGCATTACTCCTTTACTCCCTTTGCTTTTAAATGGGGAAAAAACCAGCAGTGGAACTTGTGAGACCATCCTCATCGCTACTGTTAGAATCCAAAGAAGTACGTGAAAAGACACACTTATTCCTCACAATATTTCTCTTCTGTACCTCAGATCTTCCCACAATGACTCTAGCTCCCACCTCCCACTCGACAGCTGCTGTTTATACCATGTCCTCCCGGGCTTCACTGTTCAAACACACATTCGCAACTCTGGAGAGTAAGCACCATGCTGCACATGTTTGAAAGAGAGCATGTTCACATTTGTGCCTGGTCAGTGCTAGGTTCTTGTTAAAAATGAAAAACGAGAGGATGTTCCCTGTCAAAACTCATCATCCTAAGCTGGGGAGCTTTCATTCACAGGTAGAACTCTGTTCTCTAGAACCCTGGCATATGAAACCTCGCAAGCTTCCACCTCTTGTTCTGCTTCTGCCTCTTGTCACCTTGGATTCTACTAGTTGAAACACAGTGATCCTTTCACACTTAATGTTTGAGCGATTCAACAGCTATTTTGGAAGGTATACAACTTATGAATAAGGCTTCATTGTTGGATCATTTCAGAAGGACCTAGAGGGAGCAAAGCCTGGAAACAGAAGAGCTGTGTGGAAGCGTTTCATAAAGGCCAAAGCACCCTGCATGCGAGCATCGCTGTTCTTCTAACAGAGTGGCTGATTTAACAGTCATCCTATAAGGGGATTAGTCCTGATGCTTGGCCGGAGAGCTGAACTGCTGGCTCAGGGTTTGGCTAGAAATAGTGATGTAAGGCAGCACAGCACAGCAGAGCACAGGCCTGTGGGGCAGGGGGCTGGCTCCATGGTGCCAGCTCTGACATTTATTAGCTGTGCAGCTAGAGGCAACTCATTTCCTACCCCGGCCTAAGTTGCTCCTCTGTAAGATGAGAAAACTGGCCTGGACTGAGGTTGCTGGAATCCTGTTCCACAGAATCCTTGTTCTGTGAGATGTTGCAAAGTGGTTGTTGATGGCTGGGAGTGGGAAGGATTACATGATCAAATAAAAATGGTGGACACGGGATGTGAAGTGGCTTTCAGAGCCTCTCAGGGGCCAGCCTATGTGAAGAGCAAGAAGAGAGGTGGAGGGACGCCGGGGTGGCTCAATGGTTGAGCATCTGCCTTTGGCTCAGGGCACGATCCTGGCCCGGGGATCAAGTTCTGTATCAGGGCCCCTGAGGGGAGCCTGCTTCTCTCTCTGTATCTCTCGTGAATAAATAAATAAACTCTTAAAAAAAAAAAAAGAAAAGAGGTAGAGAACAGGCAGCTATTTCAAGTGAGGAGGTCCAGGCTTTGGGGTCAGAAGGCCTGGATATTAGTCCTAAATTTGTTCCTTTCTTCTGCTGGACTTGGGCAAGTGACTAGACTTGCAGAGTCTCCGTTTCTCCCTCTGGGTTGTGGGGATAATAAGAACCAACCTGTCTCGTGGAGCTACCGTGAGGCTTAAATGGGTTGCCGCAGTGATAGGGCTTAGCATGCATGTATTATGCACTGAGTGTCTACTCTTCTCGTCAGCACACCTTGTGTAAATGGTCTGGGAGGCCCTGACTCAGACATTCAAAAAAAAAAAAATTCATTCTCCAGCTTGAGAATTCTGAGGAATTTTAGAGGAACTACTTTCTAACTCCACACCTCATATACTTTCTTACTGTCTCTTTTGCTTCATGTGTATACGTGTTGCCTCTCTGACTAAGTGCAGGAAGCAGAGAGTTGGCCTTAGTCTCCATCCTGCTAGTGGGACAGTTTCCATGGCGATAGAAGTCCGTGGGAGAGAAAAATAAATGGCCTTGCAAGGAAGAAGCAGATTTGGGCCATCAGGCCACACTTGCAGCCAGTTTCCTGGCCAACTGCTTAACACAATAAATAGCCATTTGTCCCCTGCATGTCAGACAGACCCAGCTATGTCGGACACAGAAAATGATGATCCTGTTTATTAAGGAGAGGAAAACATCAACCAGAAACAGTGCTTCAAACAAGATATTCTGGTTTATAAACAGTAGGTTTCTCTGATGTGGACACCGTCTCAAAAGAAAGATGGTGCAGTGGCTGCTCACAGTGGCTCACAGTAGCTGAAAACAGAAGAGCTTAAAAGGAGTCATCACTTTAAAAAAATGGGTTCCTGGAATGTAACATCTATTCTATCATTTTTCCTGAGGGGAGATAACATGTTTTGACAATTTTCTTTGGCTCGGGAGAGTGGGATATTGTGGAACTGAATTGTGTCAGGGACTTAAAAGGACTCAGCTCAGGCCAGGAACCCTGGGGACACATGGGCCAGGGGCAACAGGCCTCCTTCTCACTTTGAGCATTTCTTCCAGGTGAACCCCCAGGGGAAGTCTAATGGGGGGAAATGTCACCAAGAACAAGGTAGGACAGAGATGAAGGTAAAAGAGAGATGCAATTTGGAGTTTAGGAATGAATGTGGGACTTGGGATTAGACCGTGAGAGTTCTCATATGTAACTTGGTTTCCTCTTCTGCAAAATGGGTTTTCCCTGCCCCTTTTTTGCCTCCACAGGCTGTTGTAAGCAGCAAGTCAGATTAAAAGGTTGTTCTTAGTGTAAAATATTTACCATTGTTAAAAAAATTATCCAAAACTCGAGTGTAAGGCAGAAAAGTGGGTGGCATGTCCTCTCAGTATCATATGGTGGCAATGACATTGGCCCCTGCTCTGCACCCCCTGCAAGGATTATCTAGGCAAATTTACTTTGCTTTACTCCAAGACTTGGTGAGGCTACATGTTACCAGATTTTTGTCTGGTAAACATACAAATATAAGGACTTTTTGTCTTTTTGAAACAGATAAAGGTTATGGTTTCTTGTCCTGTTGGACATTAACTAGTTAAGTACCTAACCCATAAATCTTGTCCTAACATTAAATTGCCTATAAATACCCAACCCCTAAAATAATTTTTGAACTGGTCTAAATATCTTACTTCATTAACTAATGAATTAGATAAACCTTTTGCTAAGTTTTATTTTATATTTGCATAAGAGTCACGATCTTACATTTTTGAAAATTGTATCTTCACACCATCACATGCCCTCCTGATCATCCATGGGTTTGCTTTCTGAGCTAGGGTGTTTTGAATATTGCCACTAAATTTTATTCCAAGCCAATCACTCTGTCTTGTCCTCTACAGGTAAGCTCTATAAGCATATGTGCTATTAAAGATTATTAGCCAACATGCTTTAATACTTGAAAACAAACCCTTTCCTCCTCACCAAGGAGAGAAGGTGGAGTGGAAGTAGTTAAGGGTGGAATGAGGTGAAATTTATGAGAAGGTTTGGAAAAGAACTGCCATCATAAACAGAAAACAATGCTGCCAGAAACTACTCTACGGCTAGCAACAACTCCAAAATGTTAACAGTTTGACAATCTGTGGAGTGATTTTACTTACTTAAGCATTCTCTTTCAGAACACTTATGACAACCTGTGAAGTATCATCATTATTTCCAATCAACAAAGGATGCATGACAGACAGAGGAGAAGCAACTTGTCTATTCTGAATGGTCTAGACTGGAGCT